CGATTAGACTCGTGGGACAGACAGTGACTTAAAAGCTCATTTCACCAGCGTTGCTGCATACTTCCAGACTCAGACTGTAAGTGGAAAGGTAAGGATTCTTCACGGTACAAAGTACTCTTCGTCGGTGCACAATAATGAGACATTGGTTTAAAAGCTTACTTCACCAGCGTTGCTGCATACTTCCAGACTCAGACAGTGAGTAGAAAGGTAAGGATTCTTCACAGTATAAAGTACTCTTCGGTTCACAGTAGTGAAACAGTGGTTGACAAGCTTACTTCATCAGCGATGCTGCATACTTCCAAACTCAGACAGTGTACTGTGAAGGATCCTTACCTTTCTACTCAAAGTACCCTTCAGTTTACAGTAGTGAGACAGTGGTTGACAAGCTTACTTCATCAGCGATGCTGCATGCTTCCAGACTCAGACAGTGTACTGTGAAGGATCCTTACCTTTCTACTCAAAGTACCCTTCAGTTTACAGTAGTGAGACAGTGGTTGACAAGCTTACTTCATCAGCGATGCTGCATGCTTCCAGACTCAGACAGTGAGTAGAAAGGTAAGGATTCTTCACAGTACAAAGTACTTTTCAGCTCAGCTGTAGCACTCTAGGCTTCTGATGGAGAACAGATATAGTAACAAATTTCCACAAACGTGTAAACATGGATTGAACCACTTCTCACCAAAAACACACCACACTCGTGTTCACTTCAAATCCATTGCCAGGAATCAATGTGTATCAACAAGGCAAAAGCACTGCAATTCACTCACACGATAGGGCTGATCAGAGGCCGACGATCCGTTTGTTACACTCACGTGGGGAGATTCAACCTTCAGTTCCTCCTCGAACACTCTGCAACACACTTCTCTAATAGTCAGATCCACACTCACTGCATCCTCTTCAGGCTGTTTGAATGTTGGTAAGATGAAATCAATGCACTTATCTCTCTCTCTCTCTGCAGTGCAGGTCCAATCGATAACTCGGTCCAGCAGATTTCCCACAGACGATCACTCGGATCCAGCAGACTTCAAATGGGCGGCTCCCACACCCAGACAATTTTCCCGAGGAAGCTTGTGCCCAAAACTGCTCCGAGGCAACCAGTGCACCTGCGCTGAGGCAACCACTTCTCCGTGAGGCAACCACTTCTCCGTGAGGCAACCACTTCTCCGTGAGGCAACCACTTCTCCGTGAGGCAACCACTTCTCCGTGAGGCAACCACTTCTCCGTGAGGCAACCACTTCTCCGTGAGGCAACCACTTCTCTGGGACAACCAGCTTTGAACGCTTCAACCAGCTTTTTCCTCTCTCCCTCTGACCACTTCAAGCCCTTCTCTTTATACTCCTTTTTCCCGGGCGGTGGTTCAATGAAACATTTCTCATGGGCTTCAGCTGGCGCTCATTATGGTCGACGGCCATGATGTGTATACCCAGCGCCGGCCCGGTGTTACACCGGCATTTCTTCCCCCTGGAAACGAGTCAATGATTTTTGGTTCCTGGTTTGTTCACCCAGTGACAATATGACTGCCACATCTACTACATTTGATCAAGTCAGGGTGTTCTATGAGAGAGATGATATCTCAAGGCAAGCACCAGGGATGAGGGATGTGCTTAAGAAAATCCAGAAACGGCATATTTAACAATGTCTATTCTAGAGGCCTAGCACTGCTTCAAGAGTGAACATCCAGAGTCCATCATTTGGAAATCTAAATTTGCTGATCTTTGACCATGTCATGTACTCCAAGAAATGCGTGTCTTTGCTGTTATCATGAAAATCTTGAGTTATCCATGGACACAGGATTTTGTTGAAGCTGTGGCCTGAAGTCCAGACCGTTCCCACTGCATGTTTGGTCCGTGTGCTGAATGCAGGAGTGGCAAGCTGTTGGAAATGCATGTCCTTAGTAACATCCCACATGGGAAGCAACAGGTGGGCTGCCGAATAAGGTCTAGAAGAGTGGCACACCAGGAGATGTACTTGATTATCTGAAGGCAGCTGCTACAGAAATTTCTGCTTCACCATTTTGTGAAGAGAAAACAAAGCACATTTTTCAAGGCCAAAAAATAGCAAACAAAGACAGACAAGGAAACTGTGGTGTTGCAAGGTAGACTTTGCCGAAAACTACACGTCTGCTTGCCAAGATCAGATCCAGTCAGAACCAGGTGACAGTGTTTCCCTCTGTTCTGTGGTCTGATGGAGAACCATAGTGAGCTTGGAACATGACAAGAGGTCTGTGAAAACATTCCTCACCAGGATTGAGGAGGACATTCAAGAGAAACATCCTGCAATGAGAGCGATGCACATATTTAGTGATGGAGCTGCCTCTCAGTTTAAAAACAAGTTCGTCTGGTGTTTGATGTCTACCACCTTCAAGGAGCCGTTTCCAACTTTACATGTACAGTGGCACTTCTTTGCCACAAGCCACGGCAAAGATGCAGCGTATGGTGTGGGAGCAACAGTGAAGCGTGCTGTTAACACTGATGTCCTCAGCAGACAGGCTATCCTTGTGACGGACGATGCTTCATTGGTAGATTCTGCAAGGAAGAGTTGCCCAAACACTAAAATCATACTGATAACATCCACTGAAATCACAGATTTTATAGAGCATCATAGGCTGATGATAGATCGGCCATTACCAAAGCTTTCCGGGCACTCATTCAGTCCATCATATCGAGCCACTCACAAAATCTACTCCGAGCCAGAACAGTCAGGGGTCCATTTATTTCGATCCTTAACATGCTTTGCACACACATCAGAATGGTCAGCCATCAGGGCCGGGCAGAAGTTGACGTGGGGGGGCTATATGGTCATATTTGAGGGCCTCTGTAGTGCACCGCTTTTCACATACACTAACCAAGCTTCATACACTTATAGATCTCATCAAACTGAACAACCACCAGAATCGCCTGAGCGAGAGGATTTCGTGGCTCGGCATTCGACCTCTGATCCTTTCTCTCCACGTCGGCCTTGGCTCCCCCTTGGTCAGGAGTCACTCTTCTACTCACTTGCACTCCGTCTCTCCACCCCTACAGCTACAGCATGTTCCTCCCTCCCTTTGGGTTCGCCTCAGTCCTCAGTCACACCGGCTCCGCCTCAGTCCTCGGGCACTCAGACACATTGTGTGGCGGTGTCCAGGTTTTACACGGGAAAAATCAATAAAGCAGTAGTGACACGTAACCTGGCAAGTATCTTCATTCACCAACTGGCAACACAGACCGCCTTGCTAAAACACACATGTGGGAAATGCGGAAAAAATAAAAATAACTCAAAAAATAAAAGAGCCCAAAAATAAGCCCATTAATGGCATGTTTGAGTCATGCTCTTAACGAACTGTTTTATTTCTTCTTTCCATAAAGTGAATAATAAATGTGTATCATTTTAATTTGCTTGTTACACAATGGAGCCTAACTTATTGTAATAATTATTTGACGTAGCCTACTTTTACACTCACAATTATTCCTTGGCATCCTCACGTACTAAACTGCATTTTTTTTTCATTGTTTGCGTGCTGGAGGTACGCTATTACGTCGTGTGCAGAGTGATGTTAACATTTAAGCTGGTGAGAGAAAATGGCACTATCAAAGAGTCTAAAGAGGAAAGTTAACAGAGAAAATAGGGCATACAAAGAAGAATGGAAAGACAACTATGCGTTCATCCTACCTAGTATAAGTTTAGAGGTGTGTCTAGCGATCCACAGACTCTTTTGAATGTCTTTCTGAACTTTCAGAGCTCATATTTCATCTCAAAATAAAACGTTCTCGTACTTTTATTTTGAAGGCAAAATCACTAAAGACAAAGTGATTGTGAGAAACCGTTGTTGTCATGACAGATCTATTTCAGAACCAGTCGCTATCAAAATAATCTGGCTGTTAGCGCGGGGCAGATATTATTGCTGGCGGGCCAGTTTTGGCTCTCCGTCTGCGCCCTTGGATCATCGGCTTTGCCTCCGTCGGACGTAAAAAACGCGAATCTCTGAAGACGATGACGTCATGCACATCCGTATTAAGCCCCGTTCACACTACAAGCGACTTTGTCGCTGCATGTCGCCAGTGGCTGGCGATGAGGTCGCTAGTGGGAGTTCCCACTACTAGTTGCCTTTATGAATGACATCCAATGATGTGGAGAAGGATCATACGCGCTCCGCTCCTATTGGTTGTCGCTCCCGTAAGTCGCTCCTCATTTGCATAAAGTTAAACAGATTTCAACTTTGTCGCGTCGCCAGACACGCCCCATCCGGTCGCTGTCGCGTGTGTCGCCGGAAATCGCCAGCTCCCCATTGAAATGAATGGTATCGCGTCGCTTGGTCGCGTGTAGTGTGAATGGGGCTTTACGAGTTCAGTCTATAGTGTTTCTTCGCCATCTACTGGCCTGGCAGCAGAATACAGGGTTTTTTGTCCTTTTTCACGGATCCGTGTGAAAGTGGATCGTTTTGACAATGGTGTCATCTATACGCCGAAAACTCAAATGAAACATTTCTCAGGTTTAACCATATCCTTCTCGTGTAAACGAGAGTTCTTGTGTTTTCAGTGTTCAGTCTCGTTTAAGTTATGCACTGTGTAGGTTGCTAATATCTATCTACTGTCAATCTGTGAATAATGTGATTCGTGTAAAGAATTAAAACACCCAGAACTATAGATTAACTAAATGTATTTTTTCCAGGTACTCTCTGATATGGACTTACTGTAAAGCTTCTTTAAAACCCTATGATTGTTAGCCAGAGGAGAACTGGCCCCTGACTAGCCTGGGTTCTCCCAAGGTTTTTTTCTCCATCCAATCTGATGGAGTTTTGGTTCCTTGCCACTGTCGCCTTGCTTTTGGCTTGCTTAGTTGGGGATATTTAATATTCAACAATATTATTGAACTGTGTTGTACTACTTTCATGTTATCACTGTGAAGCTGCTTTGATGCAATCTGTATTGTGAAAAGCGCTATATAAATAAATGTGACTTGACTTGACTTGACTATAGTTAGAATCAAAATATAATTTTATTATGTGCATATCACATGTGTACAGTTGATATTCATAACATTAAGGCTGAAAGTAACCAAATTAAACTTCAAAATAAACTAGTTTAAACAATGGTAAAGGCCAAATCTGTGTGCTATGCACTCATCTCTTTGTTGTAGTTTTTGTGTTGGTAAAGATGAAGTTCAGGAATATGTGTGAGGTTTTGTTAAGTGAACTTTATTTAATTACTTCACAAATCTTTTGAACAAGTCAAGTTTGTGTTGAAAGATCTTCATGAGATGTTTTAAGTACGTTTTGGACGCGGTGGAAACTGGCAAAAATGCCAGAGGAAACGCTGAAAGTATGAAAATAGTTTGTGTTTTCCTTCTTGATTGAGGTGAAGTCCGTCGTCTTTGTACAGGTCTTGGATTATTTTTCCATTTTTGAGAAATGGTTTTGAAGTGTTCAGAAATAGAATATTTCTTGTTTGTGAAGTCCAGTGTTGAATCAAGCTGTTGCATTGTTTGATTGTAGTTTTCAGTGTGGAGTCGTCATTCGCTCGGGGTAAAATAGCGCTGATGGCGAAATACAGAACGTGTGGATTGACCAGAGAGATTCTTGCTATGAGGGTTTTCATCCGCTGGACGACAGTCGATGCAGACGCTCCACTTGCGATGTCGTTTGTTCCTATGTGGAGAATCACTATTGTGTAGTTGTGTAGTTTCTCGAAGTGTTTTATGTGTTGTTGAACGGATCTCAGGAGAGTTGTGTCTGGATGAACCCAGCATTGAGCATTTGGAAAGTGGTCCTCAATATCCCGACACATTGAGTCTGTGAGGAAGCAGACCTGTAGACCTGTGAGAGAGAAGACATGCTTTTACTGTGTTCAAAATATGAATTATGATTTTATTGTATGTTTATTAATATTGCATGTGTTACCTTGTGGGATGACGAATGTTCTTCTGTTGATTGTAGTTGTTATTGTGCCTTTTCCTAAAGAGACAAAAGTAGTAATGAATGATTTTGCAAAGTTATTGTAATCTTCCATATGGTTTTTAAAATAAAATTAAGAAGATTTGTACAGAAGAGCTTAGCGATAGCTGTAACATTGATCACTCAAATTTCACGGTTTATGCCAAATTAAGGTTTTTGTTAGATACTGCACTAATAAGTGGTTTTCATTTCTTTTCACTCGGATGTTGATTTGGGTTTAATGTTGCACATAATAATTTGTTTGGGCTACTTCTATATTATTTTTCTCAATGTGTCCTAATATCGAATGTCCAACTTGGAAGTGGGATGATCTTAGGTTAAAGGCAACATTAGTATTTATCATGTGATCTCAACATGTCTGTCCACATGAGGCGACCCAAATAAATAAATCCACTTTAATTAGGACACTCGTATGACATTCGTCAAAAATATCATTCATTTCTGTAGAGAAGAACATTTTAAACAGGATCAAATGACTGAGTTCAGCTTTGAGAATGAAACCAACCTGTTCGTTCCTCAGTTTCTTCACATTTCACTCTGAATGCTTCTTCAATCTTCACGTCTTCATGTTTCACTCTAAATGTTTCTTCAATCTTCACGTCTTCATGTTTCACTCTGAATGCTTCTTCAATCTTCACGTCTTCATGTTTCACTCTGAATGTTTCTTCAATCTTCACGTCTTCATGTTTCACTCTGAATGCTTCTTCAGTCTTCATGGTTTTACTCTCCTCTTTAATAAACTCCATCTTTATAACAGTGTCACGTGGATCTCAGTCGCTTCACCAGTAGTGCTGCAGTCTTCAAGTGTGACCAAAGCAGTGAAACACTTTGGGTTTTATACAGATTTCAGGGGGCCGTCCTTACAGGTGAAGATAAAGCAAACAAAGCATGTAAATGATGTAAGCAGTTACAGGCACTTTCACCATCTCTAATCCAATCAGCTCAACTATAGCAGTGATTATCATAGACATTAGGAAGAGTCACACCTTCATCCATTCATTCACACTAAACTCAGCTATTGATCCGCATCAACAACGACACCAGTTACAGTAGAGACAGAAGCAGCAAGAGCCATTAAAGACAAAAGCTGAAAAGCCTCACAATTCACATTTGTATTCCCACACACCTTAAACAAAAGAGATTCATTTTAAACATTTACCCCTCTGCTGATTTTCTAAAGCTAAATAATTTCACCAAAATAATTGCCTTGTAAAAGTGTGACTTGTCGCTGTAAAATCATGGTAAGTGTTGTTTTTGTCTCTGATGCTCTTGATGCTTCTGAATCATTACTTTCATTGTTGTCATTGTTCTTGCTAATAAATCTGTAAACTACAACAATCTGACGGGTGCGTAACACATCACCCATATTTGCCATAAACAATTGTGTAAATTAGTTGATTTTGAAGTTAATTTAATTTGGTTACTTTGCAATATTTCTTGAGTGGTATAGAAACCACCACACTGGTTTAAGAGTTTAACAGGTATTAAGATCTTGGGTGTATACTTCTTATATTTCACTGACTACTTGTTACTAGTGATGGACACTTTTGAAACATGTTTCATGAAGCTTTGAAACCTTTACGAATCTTTTGTTTCAAATCAGTGGTTCGGAGCACGCATCAAACTTTCCATCAACAGCCTCAACAACACTCAGAAGGAGTTCGTAGACCGTTCTCGTACATAGTCAAAACAGCAGCAAATATACTCTCAACACAATCACTAAGCTACGTCATCATGTCAGGTTGGATGATTCTGATTGGTTCAGACACAGATAAACACAGAAAATGTCCACATGTCACTTGCTCAGCTTCTTCAAGGATGGAGTTAGTCAAGAAACTTTACCAAAACATACTGATAAGTTGTACTTTCTCTCAGTAAGAGTTTCAGGCAATATTTGTTTTTGATGTGCAATTAATGTGCCTTTTGTTAGCAATTCAAGTTTGGTTTTCTTTTTCTTAAGCTAGGACAGATTTCTCAATACGTAGGTCACAAGTGTTAGTCTTTCAATTCATTACCATCCATTCAAAAGGGAAAAGATAGGAATTGTGTAATGTAAACATGGACCATGTAACTACAGGGAATTTATAAGCAGCTGAGTGTCAATCTTGTTTTGTAAAGAAATTTCACACACACAAAACATAATGCTGCCTGATGTTATTGTTTTTTAGGTCTGTGTTTTATGATTGAAAAAGTGTGTTGAAACCTTTGCTAGTGTTTTGGAAGAATAAGTTGTTTTGAGACATAAAGAAAGTGTTTTGGTAGGTTTAGTGCATTATGAATGTGAAATGAACTGCTGTAAAGCTGAAAGTTGAACTGTGTGAAGAGTTTTGAAAAAGTGACCTAAGTATTGAGGAATGTGTCCTAGCGATTGTAAAAGTCTTGATGATTGGACATGAAATGAAAAGATGATTCCTTCCAACATAATTATTGCAAAATATCATTATTTTGGTGAAGATTAAATCGTACCCTTAGAGAGTCAGCAGAAGGGAAAATGTTTAAATTGAATCTCTTTTGCTTTAGATGTGTGGGAATACAAATGTAAAATCATGGTAAATGAGGCTTTTCAGCTTTTGTCTTTAATGGCTCTTGCTGCTTCTGTCTCATTACTGTAACTGGTGTCGTTGTTGATGCTGATCAATAGCTGAGTTTAGTGTGAATGAATGGATGAAGGTGTGACTCTTCCTGATGTCTATGATAATCACTGCTATAGTTGAGCTGATTGGATTAGAGCTGGTGAAAGTGCCTATAACTGCTTACATCCTTTACATGAAGAAACATGAATATGTGAAGATTGAAGAAACATTCAGAGTGAAACATGAATATGTGAAGATTGAAGAAGCATTCAGAGTGAAACATGAATATGTGAAGATTGAAGAAGCATTCAGAGTGAAACATGAATATGTGAAGATTGAAGAAGCATGAACTATGGCCAGTGCAGGAGCCTCCATCTACAAGCAGAGAAGAACTCCTCAATTGGGTTCAGAAAAGGTTAGTTTGGAGAGAGGAATTGCATCATCATACGGGCTGTGCTGCAAACCATTCATTCCCAAGGCGAGAGTGGTGGAAGGCAACCCTGTCCCAAATGATGACATTCAGAGTCATGCCAGGCCTCAACAGCCCTCTCTCTTCTTCAGGTGGAACCAGTCTTTCATTCAGCACATCAAGAAATGTGACGAGGCGTTCTGTAATAAATGGGCCGATAGTCTTTTTTGCTTTCAAGTTCGCTCTTCTCTCCAGTAGAATTTTGAAGATGCATCTGACACAAATGTTCACCAAAGGTAAGTGCAGCTTCATTTGTAAAAAACAAAACAAAAAAACAACTTCAAAACAAAACAGCAGTATTTAGATCCAGGCCAAATGTAATGAAATCAAAATATCATTGAATAAACAGCTCACTAATACAGTCTGGGACACAGAGCTGTGAGAAACCCATCCAAACACAAACGTCTGGTAGAACATTTAGGTTATAATAACATGTTATATTGTGCGTAACCTTTTTTTCTCATTTACGTACCATTTTATGAACTTTTCTTCTGTAAACAGTTGTTTGGGGAATTGTAGATGTAGAAATCTCTTGTATCACAATTTCGTCTGTTTCTGTGGATACAGTACAAACAAATTTAAGCAACGTAAAGTAACGCCAAGGTATGTGACCAATCACGTGTCGTCGTGTTGCTTTCAACCATCAGAGCTGCAGATGATACTCATATTGCTTGATGCTCCCGCAGTAAGTATTTTTTGTTTTGCCGCTGAAGATGTTACGAAGACAAAAATGCCATTCCAATTAGCAATTTATGACTTATATGATAAGTCATGATAAGTTAATACATACAGTCAACTTCGCGTATACAGGCAGGAGCCATCTTATACTATAGATTCAAAAATTAGATAGCGAATACGTGCATATTAACAGCCTTGAATTAACCATAATTTAATATTATTACCATAACATGATTAAATGTTAATAAATGAACTGTATCAGCAATCATAAATCAAAGAACACATTTCTTAGAAATATATGTTACGGTGACGAGGATCACTCGTCGCTTTGTGTAGTTCCAGTACGAACAGCGCGGGGGCGCACCTGTGCTTATTATTCTCCGATTGAAACGGCGCCGGCAGCATCATTACATTTTCATCAACAGCTTACCAACTAGTTTGTTGTAGCTATATAGGCGCTCAGTTTTTCCTGTTGTAAAATACATTTGGTCAAAATCGCATTTTATAAAAAAAGAAATGCTACTGTATGCACAGGCTATTTAAGTGTATGTATTGGCTATGACTATGGCAAATGCTAGCATAGCCCTCTCTCTCAGGTCCCACATATCTTAGTCAGACATCAAATAAATAAAATATGAGCTTTTATAGACAAAGTGTTTAGTACTTATTCAAACAACAAGATCTTTGTTTACCCTTGCAAAACTTCGTTCAGCACTGTCTGCTGTGCGGCCGCTGCGGAGCTTCAGTTCATTCAGTCACGATTGAGGGGGCGGAGTTATCAGCTTTACTGACAGTTTGAGTAGGGTATAAACGGAGGTCGGAGCCAGCTGCAAATGGGTGGGTTAGCAGCAAGTGGGTGGAGCTTTAGCCGCAAGTGGGCTGTACAAACTTCCAGAGGATTTTGATTGGTTTATTTAGTATCACCTGTGTTGTAGTAGCTATTGGTTTATGCTCCACAGTTGGTGGCGGTAATGTGTCAGTTTTGTTGCGATCCATCAGAAAACAAAGAAGAAACCCGCTTTCACATGTCAGCGTGCCGTTGAGATGAAGGGGTAAGCTTGTTGTACAGTTTTTAGTTTAGTAAAAAAAAGCATTATAAGTTCTGAAAAAGACCATTTCATAATGACGTTTGTACACTGTTTTAGTCTTGATGTATTAAAAAAGAATAGGTAAAGTGTATCCAAATAAATTTAGTCGTTTTTTTAGTAGCACACAAATTACAAAATCTGTAACGTGCATGACAAGATCTTTTCTGCATTCCATTTCTACAATTTGCTCTCCAGATTATGGATTCTGAAGACCATAATAAGGTATTGTGGCAGTGTAATTTTTGTACGTTTTAGGACTGCATTGATTTTCAAATTGTAAATGTCTTAAAGGTTTTGCAAATGAATTTGATATTATAATACAACTCCTAACTTAATTGTACAATGCATGCAATTCTTTTAAAACTTGTTTTCATTGTAGTTATGTTTTTTCTGCGTAATCCACAATGTAATGTAATGTAATTGAAACATTTGTTTTTATATCATAATTATTTTATAGAATGTATTACTCATAACAATCAGTGAAATAAATGTGAAATGCATGTTATTGTTTTTTAGGTTCACTTATCAGTGAAAGATGTGCAGGACACTCTTGAGGCATACCAGTGCCTCAAGTGTACAAAATTTCACTGTCCGCTTTGTCCTAAGGACAATATAAAATTTGATGAGAACTTCCAGGCAACAGGCCACCTTCAGTCCCATTTATCTTGGGTGGTAGTACATGGGTGTAAGTTGACCAAAATATTATTGTTATATTCACTGTGAATAGGAGATCGTGTCCAATCATTTTTGACAAAAGTTGAAATTTGTTAACTTTTTTTAATAATACTTATTTCAGGTTTCAAAATCTATAAATGCCACCTCTTGTGTCGCAAAACAGCGCACTACCACTGTTGTTACTGTGACAAAACAGTAATACGTCGGACTGACTTCACAAAACACCTGCTTATTCATACAGCATATAAGAGTGCAGGTGGACAAGCCACCAGGACTGTGGCTAATAACCAGGGGGAAAAGACATTCACTCTGGTTCATGGACCAACTGACCAGCCATCAGCAATGGCCAGTGAGCGGAGGGACCAGCAGCCCACCATGGTCTGTGGACCAACTGACCAGCCATCAGCAATGGCCAGTGAGCGGAGGGACCAGCAGCCCACCATGGTCTGTGGACCAACTGACCAGCCATCAGCAATGGCCAGTGAGCGGAGGGACCAGCAGCCCACATGGTCTGTGGACCAACTGACCAGACATCAGCAATGGCCAGTGAGCGGAGGGACCAGCAGCCCACCATGGTCTGTGGACCAACTGACCAGCCATCAGCAATGGTCAATGAGCGGAGGGACCAGCAGCCCACCATGGTCTGTGGACCAACTGACCAGCCATCAGCAATGGCCAGTGAGCGGAGGGACCAGCAGCCCACCATGGTCTGTGGACCAACTGACCAGCCATCAGCAATGGCCAGTGAGCGGAGGGACCAGCAGCCCACCATGGTCTGTGGACCAACTGACCAGCCATCAGCAATGGCCAGTGAGCGGAGGGACCAGCAGCCCACCATGGTCTGTGGACCAACTGACCAGCCTTCTACCACAAACCCGAAAAACTGGGGTCTCCCATCGGTGGAGCAGGAGCTAAGACATCATAAATCAAGTCAAAAAAAAGTTTCCTGTCCTAAATGTAATGTGACATTATACTTGAAAAATTTACAACGACACATACAAAGAAAGCATAGAACTGAAAAAATTGACATGTGTGCAGATCGCCACCTTGCCAGCCAGTGTATTGATGCAAGAAATGGTATTTTTGCAGTTGCCAAAAATTTCTGTGGGCCACCTGTTCCTGTTCATGTTAAACAAAAGCTGAGAGGTCCAAGTGAATGCGAGATGGATGACTGCTCTTTGTTTTATGATGTAGCAGGTAGGAGTGGGCATCAAGCATTTAGATGTTCTCACCTAAGGTCACTTGACTTTTGTTCAACTCCCTCAAACACCTGTCATCTTGAGGAGGGCATCACACTGAGTGAGCTTGTAAAGCAAAGATGGTTTACCGAAAACAAGAAAGAGATGTGTCTTGCTCGACTAAAGGAGGCAACAGACCAAAGTGCTCCACTTGCTGTGGGTGTTAAAATTGGGCCACCCAAAAAGCATTATGTGTCTATCTTGGAGAACAAACCATCATACTACAGTCGAATGGGAAGGGTGATGGTTATGTATGATGCCCAGAGAAACAGCTGGCATTGTCCCTGTGTTAATTCACGGATGTCTTGTCCACATAAGTATGTTGCAAAGTGGTTCCTTTTTCAAACTAATAGACTGCTTTTTAAATATGTCAAATCAACTGGAACAGAAGAAGATAATTTGGATGGTCATCAAGAAGATGACAAGGAAAATATGGAAAAGCCGCTTGGACTTGGGAAAGCACTTTTGCGGAGAATTTTAAAGTATATCATGGATAAAAAGCGGTATCCAACAAATTTTCCTGAAAATCTTTGCAGAGGAGTGTTTGATCCTCCCCCACCAAAGCATATTGTGCCATCAGAAAAGTTCTGCACTGAATGTGGTTATAACTTGCCTCTAAGTGACCCCATCCTTATCACAGCAAAAGCTAAGATTGTGACACTGACATGTGTCTATGAAGGTAAGCGTTTTAAAAAATAAAATATTACAGCATGCTGTTATATTCACATCTATGTGTCTAATCAATTTATTCCTTTCAGGAATAAGCACATACTTAAGGAAATGTCTAAGATGTGGAATGGAGTACCGTTACCAAGACTGGGAACATGGAATCCACAACTTTAACAATCATATTCTCATGGGTTTCCACTTGTGTTTGTATTTAAGGGCATCACTCCAGGTATGGTCCCTGTACATTTTAAATGTGCCTTTATTCCTAAAAATTTAAGCTCTCTTTCTCTCTTTGTATATATTGTTTATTATACCTTCCCACAATCCTAATTACCGCTTATTGTTACTAAGTAACAATACCTGCCACAAAGTATAACACTTTTATATTTGTCTGTAGACTCATAATGCAGCAGGCAGAGTTTTCAAAGCAATGGAACTTTGCATCTGGTTTAAAGCTTCCTTCACATAACCATCTGTTTCATGGTTACCTACATTTTGAAGCATTGGTGCAACATGACTACAAATATGCATGCATCAATTGTGGCTCTCATCCTCCTGTGGTTATTATGGATCTTCATAAAAAGGGAGTTTTCAGTATGCCAGGTATGACAACATACACATTAAAGCTATTCTGACAATGTTTGTTTTAGGCTTTGTTTGTATATTGTGAGGAACAAAGAATGTTGGTTTCCTTTTGCAGTGAGTGAGGTACCTGATCCAACCGAGTATACTGGGGAAGTTAATGTGAGAGACTTCTGGGAGTCTATGTCCTTGAATATTATTTCCCTTGGGTTTGTGAAGGGTAAGACATGTTTTTTTCTTTGTCACTGAAGTAAATTGTACCTGCCTCTATTGAATGATTGATTAACAAACTAAAACAACATATATTTAAATGTTTTCTCATGTAGTTGGAGAGGAGAATCCATTTGTTGTCAAGCCGACCTTTGGTTTTTGGGCACCGTGGATTGGACCAGAAACTCGAAAATCTGATGTGGTTTTAAACACAGAGTGGGAAAAAGTACGCCGCCCAGCAAAAGCAAAAGAACAGGCAGAGCTAGACATCACTGAAGACAGACTTCTCGAGGAAGTCATGAAAATGAAGGTCAGGATTATTTGTAATATTTGTTGTCTGTGTGAATATGTATTATAGTTTTACTTTTTTTAAATTTGTTTCAACTTTACAGGTTGGTGATGTCAAGAAACTGTGCAAAGCTTGTGGGGTGGATCCCTGTGGTTCAAAAACAGACCTTATCCTCAGGCTTCATAATGAAATTAGGAGTAGGAGTACTTATGATAAGATTTTTGAGAAAATCTGGGGTGCATCAGGTAAGGAAGTTACCATACTCGGATTATGGTTTTGTTTTTCAATTGAATTCATAATTTTGTATAATTGATGGTTTTAGGAGGCTGGTCTGCAGTTATGTGCCCATGTGGAGTGGTTTACAGCCTGAAATTCAACATGAGAGCGGAAAGTCCAAGAGACTATGTTGATATTTTACTGTCCTGGCAACATTTACCAAATGTTACCATTTATGATTTTGCCAGAGGTCTGGCAACACATGGGAATCTGAGGGACCCGTTGTTGTTGCCATTTGCTCCACATGAGGGAAGACTACTTAGCCCTACAGAAGAAAACATTTCTTTAGCCAAAGAGGGCAAGGTCAAGGTTAATCTTCCCTGGTTAACAGAGCCGCGAAATCCCCCCGATATCAATGGGCATCCTACAACAGGGAGTTCAGAGCATTATGTGCTATATGATAAACTGCATGAAACGAATGCGAAAGATCCCAAGGATTTTTTAAGAAGAACTGCTCTGGTGCCAGAACTGGCTGGGAAGGTTAATACCCAAGTAGTAGAACAATTCTTTTCTCAAATGGAGAAAAACAACTACTTTCTCAACATGATGGCACCCAGCTCTCAGATCTTTCTAATTCGTAATATAGTCCACCATCACAACACCCAGCTTAACAGATCAAGGCTGGAGAAAATACAGAAGTTAATGGGAACCAGACAAACCTTCATGAACAAGAATGGGCAACTTATTATAGGTAACATGTCTGTATTTGTAACATACTTTTTTGCATGAGCATGTGTACTACGATTATTGTAATTGTTTTTCTCCCCTTTTAGGTCTATCTCAAGATATCTCAAACGCTGACAATATTAAGGTTCTGCAAAAAGATGAGGCTATTACTAATCTGCAGAATGTGAGTGCTAGCTCCAGGTGTTGGCAACATCCATTGAGCGCAGAAATACAGGAAAAGGTATCAAGTCAAGTCAGCTTTATAATATTGTACAAAATTTCAGAGCAGCTTTAATGAAAATCATACCGTTATGTCTCATAATTTTACACTGATCAGTTTAACGGCTGAAACATACAGTTATAGTATGTTAATTATATAAATTATCAACCAATTGAGGTTTAACAATAATAATGAAAGGCCTATAGAAGATAGAATTGTAGTTAATATGATGAATGTTGTTTTTATGCGTTTTCATTTTTAGGTTTCACGTGTACTGGATGAGGCCATGGATCCTAAGGAGCATATTGTATGCGTTTATGGTGAAACACTTACCCGTGAGGACTTCTTGACATTAGGACTACAGAATTATGTTGAGGCCATGGTAAGACAAAGGAGTAACATGCACTCATGTGTTAGATGTGTAATTTGCATTATCATGGATTTTATTTTTGTGCCTCTTATGCAGATTCTGAATTCCTGTCTAAGGGTTGTTGCACAAATTGGGTCCATAAGGGTATTGTAGTATTTACTACCAATGCACTATATATCAACAGTATAAATTACAAAACAAACAAAAACATTGTGTAAATACTGTAAAATCAACTTTGTGTTACAGAACATTGACATCTGGGTGACCAGCAGTTACATTTCAGTGACCTGGTTACCACCGCTCTCTGTAAACCCATTGGACCATTTTTCTGTATGTTTTATTTTTTGTGTATATAATTTTTTGTGTCCTTAAAGATTTATAACACTTTGTGTGTGAATAAATTATTCTTTAAAGGTGGTCATTTGCAACAAAGATGTCATTTTACTTCCATCTTGGAAACCAGGCCTTTTAACTTGGGAACAAGGCCATTGGATGATTGCTGTAAGTTAATATTTCAAATGAGACCATACTTATGCTTTTAGTGCAAAGGGTTCATTAACTGTATCTGTTTTAGTCCCGGTATGCCATTTCTTGGGGTTTCTCAAAAGTGGGGGGTGCAGGCTAACAGGTTAAATTATAATCTAAAGTCATATTTTTATGTGAACAAAAGTTTTTAATTTTTTCAATCCATTTAAAGTTGTCTTAATGAAAAGTTTGTTGCACAATAATAGGTAAAAGTGTTCTCGGACATTTTTCAGATTATGAAGCCAAAGCAAAGACAACTGTTCTTTCTTGATTCGCTCTGTGGCTCTGGTTTAAGTGATGCCAGATACATTCAAATATACAGGTCCTTCAAATGTTCACAACAGCAGTGTGGTAGTTCTGTTTGAAACCATACTGCTTGTTTGTTTTTGTTCCACTTATAACTTAAGGAATGAATTATTGTTACTATCTTTTACTAAGGTGAACATGAAACTGAATTCCAACTTATTGTACTTTTTTGATGCGAGTTAAACTTGTGTGTGTATAGATCTATAACATCTATGTGAATATAATATCTATTCTGCTAATATCCATTCTGTACATGTGCACTGATCAGTCTCGCACAGCAAGAAAAGTACAACTGGGTCAATTTGGATTTCATGTTGACGTCAAATTGTATGGTAGTTCAGTTTTAGACCATACTTTTTTTTTTAATCTTATTTAACTTACTGTTTGTTTGTTCATTCGTTCATTCAAATTGTTCCAACCCATCTGTTCAAAATTAATTTCCATGCTTGCAAGTAAGCGTTGTTGCAAAATTCCTCTTAGTTCCATTAATCCAGCCAGGTAGCCGCACACACTGCCTTGCTAGCACTGGTATTTCCTTAAAGAACAATATTTTTGCTCATCTTTATTCATTGTTCATATACCTCTGTCTTTTTTTTAATCGATAGAGAGCTTGCCCAAAAAATTGCACCAGGACTATGGTCGGAGACTGTCCTAAATGACATTACGGTGGGAATTAAAAAAATAATAATTATGTCCCACATGACTATGATCACAGCTTCTGCTGTAATGCATAAAGTTCTTAATTTACAAGTTGTTGTGTGTTTATCATATCAATTAATAAATTATGGTGTGTTTGATTTCATTACTAGGACAATGCAAGACAAGGGCTGTCAAATAACTGTGGAGTGTTTGTCTTGATGGCAAGTGCATCATATGTAAATGAGGAACATCAAGGTGTAATCAATTGCTGTTACCCATTTAACTTTTTTTGTGTTTCTTTGCATATTATAGTATGCACTGTATGTTGTTCTGGGACAGAAGTTTGACTTCACTGAAGTAAGTATTTATTTTTTGTAGCTATAATATAATATAATTGAAAATTATACTAATTCATTACTTTATGTACACAGCTAAACATGAAGAACATAAGAAAATGGTGGTGTGCCATCTTGCTTGAAAATTTCTCTTTAGAGTAAGTGTGAAAAAATTTGCTGTACTTTTAACACTTTAAGAAGTTAAGAAATCTTGTTCACTCTGTAAACTGTTTTGGGAAGTCATGGAACGGAATGATTTAGTGACTCGCTCATAACACTATTTCAGTAAAAATATATTCTGCAGACCCTTGAGTGAAAAGGAGTAGCAAAGTGTTTCAGTGATGATAAAAATCAGCAGGTGTAAACACTACTTGCTCTATCAAACTCCTTTAATATCTGTTCTTAATACTATTAGGGGTTGGCAAGATTTTGAAGTGTTGTATTCATTGGTGAATAAGTTTTTGTTTGTTTTTTATCTAAAATTGGACCATTAATTCGATTTTTTTGTTGTTGTATTTACACAAGTATTTACTGTAATTTGCAGCATCCTTGCATTCAATTAATTTTGATATTGTACTTGTTCTATTGCTTACTTTATTTGTTTTTGTTGCATGACAATCAAATTGTGGAAGACATGGGAGAAAGAGAAAACGAGCTGATGTAGCTGGTATTGTCAGCTTTTTATATTTTGCTGATATTTTTTTTGTCAAATTAAAAATTAATGGATAATTTTATCACTTTTTTCTTTCAGAAGAAGAAGAATGCTCTGCACTCCCTGAAACCTATGGGAAGAAAAAAACTGAACTTGCATATGAAAGTAAGAACTTTGATATGAAACAAAATACATATACTATGCTGGGTTTCAAATTATCTAACTATAATATTGGTCAGCTAATTTTAGATTACTTCATTTTAGCAGACCAAACCCCAGTTGTGCCCTCTGTTTTTAGCAAGGTATGCACAATTAACTTTAATGATTATTTAAAATGTGTATCATAGAACAATTTTAATCCACTTATATTTTTCTTTAAGGATGAGCTGTTAAAAGACGATGACCCTCCATCATGCTTCATCTTCAAGGTAGTTGAATAATGTTATAATGTGTTTAACATTTTTTTTTTAACAGCCTGTGCTAACTGTTGCTATCTTTTCAGTTATCAGGGGCGTTGCTGAAGAACATACTTCTTGAAGTTGTTCTTCAAGAAGGAGATGCTGCCTACATGCCCCTGTCATTGGCTTGCTCAAGGTTCAAGAATCAGGCACACTTCTTATGGCTAGAAAGTAAATATTGACATTAAAAAATAAAACGCATAACAAGAACATCATTGATAATGTTAAATGTTATGTTAATTTTTTTTCCACCTCAGGTGTTTCATGCTGGAAAAATAAGTCGTCTCACTACAAACAGCTCTTCTGGAGGATGTACTCAATCTCCACTTGTTTGGAGTGTGGGTTTGAGTACAAATGCTGCACACCTGGTACGTTGTGTAAATTGGTGATGAATAAACTAGTTGTTAGTTGTTAAAACTAAAAATCTAATTTACTTGTAGTTTAAAAGTTCTGGACACCATTCACTTGCATGGCATGGACCTACAGAGCTGAGAAATTATTCTTAATGTTTGTAAATGTTCAATGTCAACCATAAACCCTAGTTCTTATTGTGCTTCTTGTGTATCCACCAGGTTATGCTGGGAAGGGAAAGCGAGGTGAGCTCCAGGGCATTTATTCCGAAACCTTCCTCCCTGGATTTTGCAGTTTTGACTGCATGCAGATCAGTTCTATTGAGCTGATATAGTGTCCTTACAAATAACACACAAAAAAATACTAAAAATAATCAAATCAAATAAACTTTTGCAATCAATTCTGAGTGACTTGTACATTATTTTATTCATTGAAAAAATAATTTATCCACCCTGAGATTTAAATGTAATGTGTAACACGTTCAGAAGAGCATTAGTCTGCTATTTAAAAAAGTATGCAGTAAAGATGGATGGTAACTTTTTTTTTTTTTTTTACATTAGCCAAATGTTTTTCATGTATTTACACATTCACTTCACTGAGTCCAATTGCATCACATTTTAATATGTTCATTTACTTGATACTGTAGAATTATAGAATATGTTGCTAATATTCAGAAATATGCTTGAATAAGGCCTACAACCTGATGAATTTAAAACACCATCACTTTAAGTATGGTAAACGGTGTAAAGACGTGACTTCATCATTGACAGTGAGTGGTATTGGAGACACACAATAATAACAAAGCTGTAAGAAATCAGACCATGATGAGGAATGTAATATTTGATCGTTTATTTTCATTACTGTCGCAACTTCCTGCCATACTCATTCACCGCCGTCCTCGGCAATGACAGCTTGGGGATTTCCGCATAAGCTCCTCCCACTTGCGGCGTAAACTCCTCCTACTTGCACATTTGTGAAATCCCTCCTACTTGCGGCATAAGCTCTTCCCACTTGCGGCGTAAACTCCTCCTACTTGCACATTTGTGAAATCCCTCCTACTTGCGGCATAAGCTCTTCCCACTTGCGGCGTAAGCTCCTCCCACCTGCAGGTCTCCGGGCTGCAGCGATACATACATGGACAGTTTGAGGATCGAACAAGATTTACACAAGCTCTTTTTAAGATCTTTCATTGGCTAAATATTTTTAAAAATGACAGATAGACTTAAAGGGTGACCAATAGCATTGTTTAATTAAATAAATAAATAAAACACCACCACCAAAAAAAGGGCATAATCATCAAGTAATAATCAAGACACTTTACTGCCGTACCATGAGTGCAGCAGGCGTAATGATATGACGCAGCGCCTGAAAATAGTTCCGTTGTGTTGACGGAAGGTGGCCTATGTTCAGGCGCTGCGTCATATCATTACGCCTGCTGCACTCATGGTACGGCAGTAAAGTTTCTTGATTATTACGCAGGAATGAGAGTATAGTTCCTAGCCATATCAGCCTAGAAAATCACAACTTTACATTTTCCGTCGGTCTTAGTGCACGATGTAACTACAGAAGAGTCAAGTTTTAAATAGGAAAAATATCGAAACTCTTTGGTCATTTTTTTTTTTTTAGAAATGCTAATGTTCTTGTCCACTTCAATGATGTATGCTAAGCTATGCTAAAAGTGGTATCGCCAGAACCGGAGATCGGCTGAATGGATTCAAAAACGGTAAAACTCAACAGTTTAACTCTGGGGGAGTTGTAAAATGAGCCTATTTCCAAAAAAGGTGGAGTATCCCTTTAATATTATGAAGCAACGAGAATACTTTTTATGCGCAAACCCCCCCTCCCCATCCATATATTTAATGCAATGACGTATGCTATTATTTGGACATCACTCTTTTAAACACAATATAACTAAAATATAATTTTGCAAAGTTTCTGTCTTTCAGTAGCCTAAGTTACTTTATAACAATAAAAATTACAACAATTTTTTCTGTCATGCAACAACTTTTTTTAACATAACCTATTATGTATTTCTTTGTTAACATATTCACACTTGTTTAAAATGAATAAGAAAAAAACAATACCATATTACAAAACAACTAATACATTAAAATTATACGGTTATTCTATACATAAAAGTATAGCCTACTTATACTAATATGTTTGGACTTTGGCATGACTGCTTGTCCTTTAATTGAACTCTTGTGCACTTGACATCTGTCTGTCATACCTAATTGGTCCGTCTAGCCTTGTCTGACTTCTGATGGTTATAAAAGTGTGTAAAATTCACCTTGTATCACATTCGGCTACTGACAAGTCATCATGGCATCCGGACTGAAGAAAATTAAACTGGACGACGAGATACTGTGTAACCGGATACTTGCACAATGTGTCTATAATTAAACAATCGGCTTTAAAAAAACTAGATATTTTAATGCACTACTGCAGGTTGATCGCGACGACTTTCATTAAGTGGTAGTTTTTTGCGTAGAAAAAAGAAATATTTTCATCCGAGCGCAAAACTGCAAATCTGCAGTTGACCGGGAGTTCAAAAGAACCAAGTAAGTATAAAAGCAACTTTCTATGATTTTGTACGCTACTTATTTTCCTACAAATAGTATATTTATGTCTTATTGCATTATCTTTTCTTCTTAGGTAATTCAGGTGAGGGCTTGGACATAGTATGCGGACGAAGAACAAATCTAACGGTGGTCAACGACCTGCAGTTTCCGTACAGAGACCCTCCACATAAATGCAAACGAACCGTAGAGGAGGTGAAGAAAATGTCCCAAAGGCAATATGTAAGTTCTTAAATAAATTATATTATTTTAAATTATACTTAATAGCTATTGTATTTGATCTGCTATTTTAATTAATGATTTTTCTTCTTTATATTTTGTCAGGTGGGTGTACTCACTGCAAGGATCGCGCACCTGGCCGTGGGAACGGAAAACGTAGAGTTTCAAGGGAGGCAGCTGGAAACCCAGAGCGCTTAAGTGGAGGACGTCACCGGCAGAATTAGGCTGCAGCTGTGGGAAGCTCAAATTGGATTGCTTTCTTATAGAAGATCCCACCCGTTCACCTCGTTGAGCACCAGAGAATTTAATGGAGAACTTTTTCTTTTTCTTACAACTCAAATCGAAGAAATTCCATCCTTGCCTGGGCTTGGTGACATACCTCCTTATGAAGAAAAAGAAGAACCGGTGACATCTGTATACGGTGTCATTAACCGTGCCGAGGTCGCTGTGTCCCGCAGCTGCGGAAACTGCAAATTTTGGCAGACGGAGTTTCATCCAAAAAAAAAATCCATCGCAGCGAAAAATGCAAGATGCGTCAGAAATCGGGCATGTACAAGGGCACTGCCACTGCACGTCACAATTTCTGGCAATTTCGGGGAGAGTAACTTAATCCACAATTCTGTCCTGCAAAAAAAATTTGTGAGCCATGACCTCACTAGCCTTTTAGAGGATGGACAGGACGTGGAAGAGTTGAATGCGGTTCATTAAAAGTGAACATTCAAAACGACAATCTCGTTGCGATGGTAAAAGTCCCTGAGGAAACTGAAAGTCCATCGGAATCCTCTCCACAATCGTCCGCGCTTGGAGCTGAAATGCCTGCAGAAGGTATACCAAAGTAGTTCTTAATTATGTTAAACAACGATATGTTCATTTTAATTAAAAATTTTAATTGTTCAAAAATAATGTAAATAAATGTTTAAATGTTGATGTTAAATGTTCTACTTGGGCCTAAACAAATGTTAACGTACAATTTCATATTTAGCTAAATAAAGTTGGCAAGTAAAATATTTACTTGCATAGCCTATAAATAAGCTACTTCAAGTTCTTTTTTGTTGTTGTATTTTAAATAGCCTATTTCTAAATAGTTTTTTGTTCTTTATGTTTCAATTTCATTTCTGTGCATTGTATTGACATTATTATTGTTACTTTCTTCGTATTGTTACTTATTTTTAATAAACTGTTCTGTTTTTGCAACTCTAATCTCGTGCTGACTTTTTATTACACATGATAGGCTACACATTTTCTAGACTTAGGCTACACTATTTAAAAGTACAATGGGCTGCAATCACACCTTAAGAAAAAATATATTTAAAAATATAATATTCATTTAAAATAATTTTTGTATATTTGAAAAAATATTTGACCCAAATTTTAATTAAAATTGCATTGTGGTAGTGATGGTAAATTAAAACTTTTACGAAAAAATGAGTTTCCCCTCAACTTTATCATACACGTCAAAGAATTATAGGCCTAATTAATAATTACTTTCCCTCCCAGACAACCCAGTCATTCTAGACTATTTCATATAATTAATCCAATAAAATATTTTGTCCATATATTTTTACTTCTAAAATTTGAATAAATCCGTCTCTAGCCTACATTTCCACGGGTGGAATAACAAATGTTAGAATTGTAAGGTTGTGTTTAATTCAAAATGTTCCTTTTGTCTTCCCATTCTTATGATCTCTTTCAAAATAAAGGCCTCCATGTCTGTGGTGGGTGTCAAAGTAAGAATAGATTTGCACTATTTAACCATATTTTGGGAACATTTTAGTTACTCTTTAATGTTGCACCAAAGTAACTTCAAGGAGATCTACTTAGTATAGATTTACATTTACATTCATGCATTTGGCAGACGCTTTTATCCACAGCGACTAATATTGCATTTTAAGGTACACATTTACATTCTTATCAGTTCTTGCTTTTCCAGGGAAACGAACCCATAACCTTGGGGTTGCAAGCGCCAACGCTCTACTGTTTTAGCTACAGGAAGACTCATGGAATTTCATGAATTTATATAAACATACTTGTTTCTTATTTAAGAATTTTAGGCATGTTCTTTTTGTGTGTGTGTGTGTGTGTGTGTGATGTTCCTTTGTGGCAATTGTCTGTATCCTTTCACAGGTTGCTTGTCCAGTCTGCTTGGATTGATACCCAAAAGACTATGTGGAACTACATGGAAGCGGTTGTGGTGAAAGGTTTGTGACAATTTTAATATAAATCTAAATATATTTGGAACAACTGCTATCAGGGCATTTGTGTTGTTTCTATAGCCTTTTGGGAGAACTTGAAAAAGAGCTTGACTATGAGGAAAAACTAGGCAGTGAAAAGACAAGGGAGAAGACAAGCCGTGTAGAAGGTAAAATGCAAGATATCCGTTGGCATCTGACTGACTGATGACTTCTTACAAAGGTCTTTATTGCATTTGGAAATTTGTTGCCTTTTCTGTTTGGTCTTGTATCCGACATAATCACACAGCTTGCTGACAGGGTGGACAACACATCGGCATTTAGTATCAGTGT